TACTCTTGGGTGACACGTTTATAAATGACATTTGCCCACAAATAAGTAGAATAGGTGGTCTAAAAGTTTCAGCCTCTACTGTTGTTAGAGCAGGTGAGAAAAGCGTTAAAAGGGAGAAAAAAAAGGCCATACCTCAAATATCTCTACCTTAACTAGCAGATTAGAGAGGTAGGCACTTAATGACATTTCTGAGTCAATCCAGTTGTCGTGCTAAGAATTCAGTGTCCTGGTTAACAAAGCAGGATGTTACCAAATCCCCTTAAGTCTCTCCAGTCGAGTCTGTCTCAAAGCAGAGCCACCCAAAATGTTGCAGAGTACATTCCGCTGTCCCGAGACATTGGGACATTTCTAGGACCTCTCTCAGCCATTTGGGTGCTCGTTCCTGGTGCCCGCATGTTTCATTGCCGTGTAATTGCCTGACAAAACGAGTTTGGGATGCATTAAGGCCTAGAATTACTTCAGCGTTACACTGCCACATCATGTTCGGTACAACATCATCATACAGCTGTAGTGGGCACTCTCTCCAGCTCTCACACGGAGAGAAGTGTGAGGCAGGCAAAAGGACAAATGCATCCTATCTTCAAACTCTGAATTTTTGCCTTGGCCCTTCAGTCAGTCATCACCAGCTCTCTTCTGCTGTTATCCTCTTCTCAAACAACCTACTACCTCTATCTACATCTTGTTGTGATTTGAAGTGCTTCATCTCCTGCACCATCTGTTGTCACTCTTGGATCACTTCAATCTTAACATTAGTCTAAGCAAGCTATATTTTTCTAATTTTTTTTTCTTATTTTACACTTTCTCTACAGAGGAAAAGACAGGGATTTATTAGTGGAGGGGGAATAAAGCACCAACATGGCACTTAAACTCAAGTTGTCTCAAGTGGTCTCAAGTGGTACAAGGTTCTAAAGAAGGTACAGCGACTTTTCTGTATGTCTGACATGAAATTCCTCATTATGCAGTGGACCCTGCAAGTGCAAAGCAAGTCTCACGTCTTCAAGGGCAAGTCCAAGTCCTAATAAGCAAATTGCGAATCAGGATGCAGGTATTTCAGGTGTCTAAGTGCAGAACACTAAAGTGCTTTCAGACAGTGAGTGGTTGCTGCTACAACTTCCACCCGGTAGTGTCAACGGTCTGCATTTTCAATCGAAGGCAACAGGGCACAATGTCGCCACCACTACTCTCGGATACCTCTGAGAGTGTAGACAATACTGCTATCCATCTTCAATCAGTGGCCACCTTATTCACATCTGCTTGTTAATTCAAATATTATCTAATAGCCAATCATGTGGCAGCAACTGAATGCAGACATGGTTTAATTGTTACACCAAACATCAGAATGTGGAAGAAATCTGATCTAAGTGACTTGGACTGTTGAATGATTGTTGGTGGTTGTTTAAATATCTCACAAACTGCTGCTGAGTACAAAAAACATCCAGTGATGGCAGTTATGTGGCTGAAAGCACCTTGTCAATGAGAGAGGTCAAATTAAAATCACTTGACTAGCTGACAGGAAGACAACAGTAACTAAAATAACCAGGTGATCTGAGGAGCATCTCTGAACACACAACAACCTTGAACCATGGAACCTCGAAGTGGATGGACTACAGCAGCAGAACCCCACAGCAGGTTCCTATCAGCTAAGAGCAGGAAACTGAGGCTACAGCAGGCATAGGCTCACCAAAACTGGAACTGTCAGAATGTGATGTAAACAACATGAATCCATGGATCAATCCTGTCTTGTGTCAATAGTTCAGGCTGCTGTTGTTGGTGTAATGGTATGGTGAGATACACTTGCTCTTTAACCATGCATTCACGTCGCATTAATTTCTGAGACTCTTTTTGAGCCACTGAGCGTGGTTGCCACAGCTTACCTGAGTATTGTTGCTGACCATGTACATCAATTTACGGCCACAGTCTGTACATCTTCTAATGGCCATTTCATTGTGTTTACATTAGAAATGGCTCCCTGCCTGAAAGCATCTTCAGAATGACACAGCCTGTTGACATTTTCGAAACTACACCAAATGTTTGACAAACATCTTAACAAGATCCACTTACAAACTTTCTGTGGGACTTTCAGTTGCCTCTTGTGCCCTTCCTCAGTGGATGAAGTTTGCTCAGTCTTTATAGGTTCATGTCTTTTACATCAACTGAAATTCATATGCTTAATAATCAAATATTGAAGCTGTGGGGCTAAGTCCTGCCTGGCTGTCTAGACTTTGTGTTTGCGTTTCATTTATATTCAAGTCCTCAGAGAGCCAAGTCTCAAAACAGTTATG